TTCCCTTGTCAGTATAACAAAAACGTGTTTCAATTTTATCGAATCTTCTTTTGTTGCAGAACAGAAATGTTTCTCTGCGGATCTATATTTTAATCTGCGACAAAGTGCAAAATAAACAGGCTAACCGTTTTTTTCTATGTATTTCTTATTGATCATAAGATAGAATTGATTATCTTTAGTACTACCATGATTTTAATGTCATTTTCTAAGTAAAATTTATTATCCATAGGATCAATTAATCGCTTCAATATTAAATACGTCACAAAAAGTTGATAGTCTTTTACTACTTGATAATCGATATTTGAAACAACTTGATAATTCATCGGTTGAACTATTAACTACAGTAAAATTTATTTAACAAAAATAAAAACATCAAGAATAACGAAATGCATTGTATTGAATAGGACGATTGCGTATGTGTTGAAAGTTGGCCTTCAGTGCAATTTATAAGTCGAGGAAACCTTCCAACCGTATTGCATGTTTTTATTTGTATTTATTATTTTTTAAATCAGACAAAAAATAATAATTTTTTCCAGACAACGAACCGATATAAATTTTGAACGAACTGATATTAAATCACGTTTTAATTGGATTAATCGTGCTGCTATACATTATTTAAATAAAACAGCTTTTTGGAATTTAGCACAATACAAGTAAAAGAAAAACTAAAGCTCTTCAAGAAAAGAACTAACATGCATAAACAAATTCTTTTATTTAGTGATTTTGTTTTACTCTATTCAGCAATGGCTCTTGATAACAGTGAACATTTACATTTTCGTCATACAGAATATTATGCTTTAGCATGTTCATATCTATCAATGGCTATACTAAATCAAGTACAACTTTTAAAAGGCATACCTAATTCTTTTAAAGGTTTTCATTAAAAAAAAGGGACAATACAATCTTTCAAGTCAAATGTTAAATAAGAGTATTGATTTAGTACAACTGTCAACAAATGCACATAATTTAATTGATATGGCTCGAGCTGATATACAAGTTGTACTTCAATGCCGACGAAATGAATGCGATAGAGCATTAATTACAGCTAAAACATTTTCGAATTATTCACAAGTTGAATATGAAATACGGTAAGATAAATTTATATTTTATAAGAAGATTTACTTGTTCATAATTAGCCGAGCAATATGTTTACATAATTTAAATGAACTTGATGATAGTCAACGAGATCCAATAGAATTACAAAAATTATTAAATCCAGAAAAAGTATCTGATCTTATATCAAGAATAACGTAAAACCATTTTAAAATAGAATTTTTAATTAATTGATTTATTTTACTTTTGAAGACTTTTATTATTATTAACTGAAAATTGTGCAAAGGAAAATGATCTTGTACTAAGTCTTGGATTTCTTGAAGAATGTAAACAACTATGTGTTAAATATAACCTTCAACATTATTCGATTCTTTGTCGTTTATATGAAGTACAATTAAACAAAGTATAGATTATTAAACCAGATTTCTGTTTATGAAATTTAACTTATTTTTGTCTTTTACTCGTATAATAGTGTAATTTTACAAAACCTCAAGAATCTATTCGAATACTTAATTATTGTCTTACAGAACTTTTGAAATCTGGTGATCGATATAATGTTGCTCGATATGTATTATTGCTTGGACGATTGTATTTATTAGAAATAGCTGAAGATCGAGTTTATCATAATTGTAACTTAGAATTTAACGGAACTGAATATTTACTTATAAAATTCTCAGTATGGAGGTCATAGTTCTTGATAAACCGGCCTTTAAAGATTCGACTTAGAAATAATCGGTTTTGAAATAGTTCAATCTATCAGTAACTTTGAAAAGAAATTATGTAGAATGACTTATAAAACGTTAATATAGTTCCAGATTTTTGAAAGTAACAGAGTAATAATGTTTAATTAGAATCAAAAAGTAGTTATACCAGGGATGCCACCTTTTCCGCTTTTTTCCGCTTTTCAGATTTCGTAAGGTGGCATCCCTGCTTCAGATATTTTTTTGCATGTCAAATCGATTCATTATGAAAGATAAACTAAATATTATATTATAATTTGTTTTTCTTTTAGAATGTTTACGCATTAATTTTTTTGTTTCGAGACTTTTTGCAAAGACTTTTTTTTTCTTTCAAATATAAATTATAGAGTGTCAAAACATATTTCAGGAATGAATAGCAAAAATATGTCACTGTCAATTAATGCTAGCGACAAATGTCTCAAGATTTCTTTCTGCAATCGATGATCAGTGCTATTTCCAGATCTCAAATTTATCGACGATCACATGGATCGATGTATTGTGGTCTACCAAAGATGAATACGGATCCATTCGATATGAAAAGCAGGAGCATATATGATGTTTTATCGCTTAACAATACCTGACAACGATGACGGGTATATTTCATTCCAAGTGTATATCCTAGTAACGAAATTGTCACGTTAGATGAACCTGTCTGATTAAATAATCTGCAAGAAAACTTTGTATGGTAACATAGTTTTTTTTCATGCATGTTTTCACTATTTTAAAATTTGGCGAAACATCACAATGCTCTGTTTTCACGCTTAAAAGTCCGTTTGATTATTCTTATCATTTTCTTTCTCTGAAGCATATAAAATAGTTCGGACAAGTCAGTAAAATCTCATTTTTTTCCTTCATTCATTTAATTGTGATGAAGGCTGCTGAAAGGTTTATCAGACATACTGAATAGCTAACTCTTATGCAAGTGTAGTTTCATTAATTACTTCTTCAAGTAATCATGATGTATCTTATAAAATACGGGTACTTGCCAAGGTACTTGATCTCCATAATACGGATATATTTCGTTTCATAGCGACATTGAATCGTCAAATCTTTCCCCCCTTACTGATTTACTGATTTGATAAACTATTTTAGAACATAATCGAATCAAGTTTGACACTATGACAGCAGTTATTTTCGCCTACTATGCTTTGGTACTGATGATCGTCGGTACGATATTCAATTTCATTACATTCATCATGCTTTTCCGATCGACATTCAGCGATGGAAAGAAACGACCCGTCGTATATTACATGCGTACTATAGCTATTTTGGATATCCTGATGCTTTATGGTTGGAATTGTGATCATTACTTTTCAACAATACACGGCTTTGTTTTCATACGTTCTGGCATTTTTCCTTGTAAACTTTTATCATTCATCAATTATTTTGCTCCTCAAGCATCGGCGTGGATTCGTGTTTGCGTGTGTATCGATCGATACATGTCGGTCAGTCGACTTCATCGTACATGGTTTAGTCGTCCGAAAAGTGTATCTATCTTGATTGGAAGTTGCCTCGGCGTATTTTTTCTATTCAATTTACATTTTTTCATGTTCGCATGCTTTGTGAAACCTAATGGCAAAATCAGTCTTAACGCAGCTTTGTATGTGATTTATCCGCTTTGGGATAATATTAATCTCGGCATATACAATATTGCACCATTCATATTGATGATCATTTTCAATGCTGGTGTTATTTATCATTTAGTTCACGTTCGTCAACAGAGTAGAATACAAAATTCACAGATACAACATCGTTCAATATCGATTATGCTTGTGATAACAACATTTTTATTTTCATTTATGACAACTCCGGCAACAATATGCTATGGTTTCTTCGGCGATGTACTCAGTACTGATGTTCTTTCAATGCTCGATGCAATCTTGTACACATATCACATTTTATCATTTCCAACGTATCTTATTACACTTAAAGAATTTCGTCAGCAAGTATTCGATGGTTTTCATTGTTTGATGCGAGTCACAAGAATTGGACCGAGCGCGCAAGACGGAGCACCCGGAACAGCAGTTGTTCAGATGTAATTCGATATGAATACAGATGACACTTGAGACTATTAGCTTTATAAATTTAGATGCCGTAATTTATGTTGTTCACTCATTGTATTTCAATAAAACTAATTAAAATAAAGTAAACCCAACCGGAAAAAACATCATCACGACAGTTTCAATGAAATGTCGCGTCTTGAATCTTGATTATATTCAAACAATGATCTGAACGAGAAAGATTAACTGAGTTCTAATTAAAATCGACAGTTGACAACATAGAAGCTGTCGGTCACGATTTCTAGAACACATACCAAAGTGTGAAACATTGCCTTAATTACAATACTTGACGCAATAGTTTATTTCACACTCATTAATTATTTTGAAGATTTCTGTTTGTCTTACATAATATTAAAGATGACACTCGTCAAATGGAGCAAACTATTGACGTCGGTAGCAGTTTCATATAAAAAGTATAGGCTTTTCATTTCTCTTTCTTCTACAGATACAACCATGGCTCTCTGAACGATAATAACATCAGTTTGTGATACAGTTGATGCTATCCGAAAATTCGAATGATAGCTCATGAACTTTATCCTACCAGTAGTCAATAGGAAGTAAAAAAAAGCTATTTATGTTCATGCCGTCGAATTCAGTAGTTTTGTATAGCCTTTCATCACACTCCACTGTTATTCTATTTTTCAAAAACTTCATAAACACAGTGTCTCTACTGAGCTTCGTAGTTTTAGTGGATACAAGTCACAAACCAACAACTCGTAGTGTCATTCTTATCTTAAGATCAGGTTGTGGAATCAAACAAGAACAGATCGACTTATATTCTTCAAATACAAATCAATCTGTAAGTCTCAACTCTTGCTTTTCAGCAACCGATTTTATGTCAGATAAATACATTTAAATTGAACCAAATAATTGTGCTTGAAATCAAAATAATAAAAAAATTAATGCAGATAAATTTTTGCCGACGTGTTTCGTGTTTATTTATTTAAAAATGGGTACACTCTTCAGGGCACTGCATTACAATAAAAAGCACAAAAAATAAAATGGCAATAAATAAAAGAAATAAAAGAAATAAACGAAGATATAATGAAAGATAGAAATAAAACTAAAATACATTGATAATAAAATTTTAAAATAAAACAAAGAATAAAATTAAAATACATTGCAGAACATAAAATATATATAGCGAATTGTGTAACTAGAATCAAAATAAAAATTGAAAAAATTAAATGATAAAATTAATAAGTGAAACGAAACTAAATAATAAATCAGCAAATAATAATAAAACTATATCACTAATCCAAAGAAAGAAAAAAAATGATATAAAATTATTAGGGGTGAGAAAATGTAAAAAGAGTTTATTTTTTATTTGTGTTACTTGTTTATTTTATTCAAACATATGTCTGACCCCCAACTGACTGAAATGTCCGCACATACATATATATATATTCTGCTATCCAGAGAAAACATGTACATATGTATATAGCGGTGGATGACTAGATATCATGATATCATAGAACAAAAAAAGGTATATCTAGTCATCAAAAGAAATATAATCAGTTACAAATGATATAGCTATAAGAAAAGGAAAAAGAAAAAGAAAGAGAAAGAGACCTAGACAAGTGAAATAGAGTGGAAACGATGTGAAGGGCGAGCCCGTAACAGTGGGTGTGAGTGTGGGTGTGAGTGTGGGTGTGAGTGTGGGTGTGGGGTGTGGGTCAATAGAAGATTGATACCCACACCGACACCCTCACACTCCCACACCCTCACTTTTGTTATTGTTGTTCGTTTTCCCCAAAGAAAAACAAATGATATCTCTTACTGATGATGACAGCACTAATAAAGGTTGAAAATTTCAGTCAATTTCAGTGAAATTCATTCACACTGCCCTCATTTGTTCATTATCGTTTCATTTCAAGTTTCCTATTTCTTACTTACTTATGGAAATAGCCAAGATTTGAAAAAGGATTCTGATCAAAACTTGACAGAATCCTTCTAGTTTCAGGATCCTACCAGGTCCTTCGAAGATTTTTCCAAGAGTGACCAGGGTTGAGACTAGGGCTACAGAAATCAAACGTTGAAAAATATTCAATGATAAACTTTCAACTGCTTTCTCTCTCAGAAAAGGTTTCTATTTTTGTATCAACACACCGATTACTAGTGACTCACGATTTGTTACTAATATCAACGAGTCAAAGTTATCACTCTTATGCTATACTACAACATAATGAGTTTATTGAGGAAGTAGTGGGCAAGTACGGTCAACTGTTCGAAGATTCAATGTGTTTCTCATAGTCATGCATCAGTCAGCAAGCAAGCTAGGTCTAACTTTGCACATGCTCATATCAATGTATTCAGGAAGATGGCAAAGGAATCACGATTGAAGAGCTCTATCTATGCTCACCGCAGACATCGAATTTTTTAGGGAAAGAGCGATCGAAATTCTTTCGCTAACTCTACTCGCAATAAGCAATAATTAATTTAATATTGGATGTTGTTCCTTTTTTTCTTTCTCCTGTTTGTGGTAGGGAAGGGATTAATCTATTACTCCCTAACAGAACAGAAAAGAAGAAAAAGAAAAAAGCTGCAGTTCGAAAAAAGAGACCATGTTTGGAGGAAAAATGGATTGGAAAAAGTGAATAGTGATACTTGCTAAAAAGAAAATCTATATCACTGACTATGAGTGTGCCTGTAGTGTTAATAAAGAAACAACCACTGGTAACAGCTCTGACAGTGATCGACAACATCTCTGTCACCAATCAGAACGATGTGAAACGATTCTACGACGCTGCCATTCGTCGCTTGGTTCGGAAGCTCGATCGAAGACTACTTCCTTTTCTTGCTTTCTTGGAAATTAGTTCATTCGTCAATCGAGTGAGCATTGGTATGTGTTTTTGTCTTGAGTCATTCGTTTTTGATGATATTCTTCTAGG